TCCAGAGGTGCTTGTTGTTTCCTCTGGAGGCAGGGCACTCTTGCAGCATGCGGTGATGAGGAGAGAGCCAGGTTCAGATTCACCTGGATGACCGCATGGATAATGGCTGCCCTTCTTCCTCGCCCAGGCCTTTTTAAAACCTCCCTGACCTCAGCAGCCGGTCCAACCGAAGCTGCCAATACTGGCTACAAACCGGCCAATCTGCAAAGCATCCCTGGCTACCTGGGCCCGCGCGCAGGGCCGGGTCTTCCCCCCCCCGCCCAGGTGACCAGAGCATCGCCTCCCAGGCGCCAGGCTTTTGTCTGCAGACAAGGAGCGAGATCCCCGCTGTGAGAGATTCAACAGCAGCCTCTCGGGCTGGCTGAGACAGATCTCTGGAGAGGGGCACCGACGGGGGCATTTCTGCCACACACGCTACCAGTACGTGCAAGATGGCTGCATGGGCAGGTGTGAGCTGCTGTGACATTAGGGCAGAGGTCAGCAACCCCCGGCACGTGTGCCGAGCATGGCACACAAGGCCATTTTGCTCGGTACACCACTGCCAGCCCAGGCTCTAAGCAGCTGCTGCCAGCCACGGAGCCCAGGCTGCTCCCCGCAGGCGGCTGGGCGGGTGGGAGACAGCCCTGCTGTGTGGGCCAGCTGCAGCCGGGAGGCTGCAAACGGCTGCTCCGGGCTCCGGCATGTCAGCACTCCAGCACCTTCCAAGGTAGACGTTGTGGGTTTTTTGGCACTCCGGACAAAAAGCATTGCCTACCTCTGCATTAGGGTGTTAATATGATGTGCCGTGATGATCGCTGAATGTCTGCACAGAGAGTATTGCATTACCTACCTCAGTGCTGCTCATGACATGTAGGAAAGGGAAGAGGAGCTCATAGGATGGGGATCTGCGCAGGCTGCTGTCAGAGCACATGGAACGGCACCCCCATTTCCTCTCTCCCCAGTCTGGCCGACAGCCCCAACAGGATAGAGGAGATGAGCTCAGAGGTAACTGGGCCCCACTGAAGGAAAGCCAGTGAGGGGAAGCCTAGGGGCAAGATCTATGCTCCCTATTGCTGCTTCTGCACATCTGAGTATTTTATGTAGCAAACAACTTACCTCTTGTTTCCACACCACACCTTATCTGCAAAGAGAAATGAGATAATTAGCTAGCATGTCTCTTCCATGATAAACCCAAGATAGTTTTCCATGCACTGTGGCGTACTCTGAATCATCTTCAAGCTCAGAGAAAGCCATTTAAATTAGCACCAGCAAAGCTCTATTCCTTTAGTATCAGAAGCAACAAGATCTGAATGCGGACGGATGATGTAGACGTGACAGCTCTGCTGCTTGATCTCATCAACCTGCCTATCAGACTCAGGTCACACAGGGCAGTGCCACTTTCCTTCTCCCCTTGCAAGGCTGCTCCTGCTCTATTCAGGAAATGCCTCCTCCAGCGGAGAAACGGAGTCACATCCACTTGTGTCTTGATTTTGCTGCTAAGCCTTTCAAAAAAGAACTCGAGGAACCCCAGGCATGACCAACACCAAACAACCAAGTCTTTGTTAATGCTTGGAGCAAGGGATCGGACTAGATGAGACCTCCTGAGGTCCCTTCCAACCCTCATCGTCTATGATTGTGTGATGATGGCACCGAGTGCCTGCTTAGCAAATTTGTGGATGACACCAAGCTGGGTGGAGATATGGACACTCTGGAGGGCAGGGCTAGGATCCAGAATGACCTGGATAGATGGGAGAAATGGTCCGTGATCAGTCAGATGAGATTCAGGAGGGACAAGTGCAAAGTCCTGCACTTGAGACAGAGCATGCGCAAATAGAGACTGAGGAATGACTGGCTGGGCTGCAGTATTGCAGAGAAGGACTTGCGGGGTTACAGTGCCCAATATGAGCCAAAGGTATGGTCTTGTTGCAAATAAAGCCAACAGCATTCTGGGTTGTATGAAGAGGAGCATCACCTGCAGATCAAGGGGAGTGATTCTGCTGCTCTATTCAGCACTGGGGAAGCCTTCCCTGGAGTCCTGTGTCCAGTTTTGCACCCCCTGTTCAGGAAGGATGTGAACAGTTTGGAAAGAGCCCACCACAAAGCAGCAAAAATGATCCAGGGCTTGGGATAATTCAGCCCTACTTTCTAGGATTTCTATGAACCTGCAGGTAGTGATGGTCACCATTCTCCAGTGACCTTGGACCTAGTGGCCAAAGTCAATAGGGCCTTGGACCTTGGACCCAGAACAAAGTCAATAGAGCCATGTCCGTTTTCACCAGGTTGGTATCTGACTGAAAGATGTCATCCCGTTCCCAGCATCCTACACCAAAAAAACTTCCAATTAAACACTATATCATTCCTGGAAAGGGGCTGAAGTATCTTAAGCCTTGTCAGCCTGCTTGATTCACACAGGAGACATCCTCCGACCATGGAAAAGCTAAGACTATAAAGCCACTACATTAATCACCATCAGTTGGCTCCATTTTCCAAGCATGGTACTTACACATCTTGAAGAGGACTAAGAAGAAAATAAGTCCAAGAACCAGAACAGCTGCAGTGATGGGTATCAGCAGAAAATAGGCAGGCAGCTGCTGTGTTGGAGCTGGAAAACAACAAGAATGAATGCATTATTTCTGGCGAGATGTCACCTCCACCACTTAAGCAGGACAGGTGTGCTGGCTCTCTGAAGTGCTCATGGCACTGCAAAGATCTGTACCCTTGTTCATTTACACTTGTTACCCTCATTGTACCTCTACCACCTTCAGGGCCTGAAGTGTCAACTGCAGGTTGGCAACCATTTAATAGCAGCCTTCAACTCCCTGCAAGGGGCTGCAAAGAGGATGGAGCTGGGCTGTTCTCGGTGGGGCAGATGACAGAACAAGGAGCAATGGGCTCAAATTGCAGCAAGGGAAGTTGAGGTTGGATATTAGGAAGAATTTTCTCACTAGGACGGTGGTAAAACACTGGAACAGGTTACCCAGAAAAGTTGTGGACTCTCCTTGGAGGTGTTGAAGACCCAGCTAGACAAGCCTTGGCTGGGATGATGCAGTTGGGGCTGGTCCTGCTTGGAGCAGGGGTTGGACTAGATGTGACCTCCTGAGCTCCCTCCCAGCCCTCCTTGTCTGTGATTCTACCAGTTTATAGGCTGCCTGGCTGGGAGGCTAGGAGACACTGCAACTGGTAATGAATAAACGAGGGTGCAGCCACAACGAGGGTTAAAAGGCCCCGGAGCAGAGTGCAAGGGAAGAGGGGAGGTTGGTGCACGGCAGGACAAGCACAGAGCCTGAGTTGCTTTTCTCCAGCTCTGAGAAAAGACCACAGGTTTGGTTTGGTATTTGCACATTTGCTTAAGTTGTTTGCTGGGGGGAAACCTGAACTCAGAGCAGACTGGCCTTGATGAAGGAGCTGAGTGAGTGACCCCCTTACAACACACCTTTAAATCATCTGCAATATAGCTCCTAAAAACTGTCACCCTTGAAAACCCTCAGAAATGGCAGCAGGTCAGGAGAGATTTCCTAGGTGCTTTCAGCTCGGATTCAGCAGTAATTTTCATTCCACGCAGGAGCCTCATTTCCAAAATGTCATCACCCGGAAACAGGACTTGTCTGTGCTAGCCCTCTCCACCCCTTTCTTCTTTAAGAGTGCTCAGTGGATGTGTCTACATGTGCATTTACTGTGCAGTAACTTACTATGCAGTAAGTGGTTGTTAGACCAGTATCTACACGTGTAGGCGTCACTGCGCAATAACGCTGTGTGCCGTCCAACTTGGGAGTAAAGTAACGCTGAAGTTGGCTCATACACACATTGTTAGTGCGCAGTAAGGTGTCGACACATGCAGCAACTACTCCGGAGCAGATTTGCTACTTGCATTATGCAGGTAGCAAATTTACTCCTGAGTTGGCCTAGTTATAAGTTACTGAACAGTAATGGTGCACATGTAGATGCGCTCAGTGATGTGTAACAGGCCTGGTTTTACCAAGCAAGATCCAGATCTGACTCAAACCATTCCTGAAGCAGCCCAGCTACAGCAGCACAGAGCTGACACTGGCTCATTTATCCTGTTTCTTCACAGGGAAGCTAGCTTGCAAGGGACTCTGTGCTACTCTGAACCTGCTGCTTCCAGTCCTAGAACCGGCTTGGGTGACTACAGTTCAGGCATCTTGGAATATATCCCAGCCTACACGGTGACATCCTTTCACAGGGTGATATCTCCCTGCTATTGAGTTTCTTTTTGACTCACAAGTATAACTCATTAGCCACAGGTGCCACAGCAGTAGAAACATAGGCCATGAGAGGTGGGTCATTGAGTCCTTAACCATAGACACCGGTCAGCTTCCTCCTAACCCAAATCGCTCAGCCAGTGGTAGAGGTGACACAGGAAGTCTTGCTAGCTGCTGCACTGTTTAGCAGGCTACCTGCAGAGTTACCAAGAAAGCCATGAGTGAGGCAGGGTGCTCTAAAGAGCCAGCCCAGCGCTGCACATTTTCCAGCACGGGAGGCAACTCAATGCCCATGCCTACTGCTCTCTGCACCCACACGTGCAGTCCTGCCCTTCTGTACTTACAACACAGGGCAGGTAAAATTCAATATTAATGTAATATGAAATGGCTAAATGCTGGTTTCCACATCACCCTTGGCACAGTGCATCATGCTCCAGCCTCCTCTGGGCAAGAGGCAGTGAAGCTAAAGATGCTACTTTTCAGACTCCCTAACTCCTGGTTATTTTAGTGCTTTTACCTGTGCCTCTGCTCCTGCCCGCCGTGACTCCCCACAGAGCAGTCAGGCAGTCATACTCACCTAGGTTTGGATGGGGATGATCCCGCCTCAGGCGCGGGTTGGACCAGATGACCTCTGGGGTCCCTTCCAGCCCCACTACTCGATGACTGTGAACTTTCCAACTTTCAGTAGTCACCACCTGGCCCCAGCTATCCAGCACATCACGTCCATGTACTTTCCATGGTGCAAGGCAGAAATAAACCCAGCAGACCTTGGAGGATTATTTTCTGAGGAGGGCTTGTACCCATCACACTTCCCCCCGATGGTGCCGTGGATGTGACTTGGAGAGAACGGAGGTGAACCTGGGCCATCTGCACACCTCGTAATGTCCGGCGGCCAGAATAGCTCTGGGGGCAGTGGGACAAGTTAGAGCAGCCCCAGGACCAGTTGACAGGAGCAGGGAAGCATGGAGTAACTTAGGGTTACCACTGCAGAGACCCCTGAGCAGCACCCAGCACCGTCAGGCACAACCCAGGGCTGGGGCTGTTGTTGTCAGGGAAGGGCCAGAGCCACCCAGATGAATTAGCTCCAAGTGAGGGTGGAGGTTGAGATAGGAAAGAAGATGCTCAGGCCGACCGGCCCCCTCCCTGGATTGCCTCAATCCCCATGTAAGAAAGGCTCCTGGGGCATCTTCTGGCACTGCCCAGGGTCCCCAGGACCTATTCTAGCCAACAAGTTAAGTCAAAGGAAGGAAAACAGTGTGAAAATGGATTGTCTGGTGTAAAACCAACTCCACTGACCATGGCAAATGGAAGCAGTAAAAGAAAGGGACTTTGCTACGTTAGTCTGACATCCGGCACAAGGTAAGGTAGGTGTGCATCTAATAGGCTAATTAAATAAGATATACAGAGAGCGTAAGCTATCATGAGGTCAAGCTCATTTAAAAGAGCCAACTCCTAACTGTTTTGATTCTTTTATTCACAAAGTACCTTTTCCTGAAATGAGCAGGAGACAGTGTTAACACTTTTTTACGCAACCTGCCATAAAGTTGTGGCAGTCATTGTCCCAGGAGGTGGTGGAGGCAGAGAGCAGAGCCAGGGTCAACGAGGGACTGGATACATTCATGGAGGACAGATCTATTCAGAGCTATTGAGCAAAATGGTTGGAGATATTTCCGCTGGCATCTCGAAGCCAATAATGCCAGGGAAAGTATTGAATAAGGGATAATCGCTCCAGAGATATTCAGTCCCATGCTTTCCCTGTTGCACGGGATACCAGGCTAGATGGGTCATTGGTCTGACCCCGAATGGCATTGTGTATGTTCTTATATTCCTTACACACAATTTAGGAACCAGCTTCTTCCCTCCTTCTTCACTTCCATAGATTAGGTCATGTTTTTTTAAAGGGCATCAACTCAGCATCCAGTTTTGTTCCTGTGAGTGGCTGGGGGTGCACAGATAGCTGTGCACCTGACTGGCACATCCCATCTCCTACTGACGTGTCTAAGTGCTACACAACGAACTCACAAACACTTGTTCTGAAAAAACGCGCCCCCGTCGTTTTGCCAATGCAGAATTGGAGACCACTTCTGAATTCGAGCCTTATGTACATACAGTTCCTATAAGCTTTGTCCATGCCTGTGCAAGGCTGCAACAAATATATCGGGAATTACAGAGAAACAAAAGAAAAATAACATAGTTATGGGTGGCAGGTCAGAAACTATCATCAGAAGTGTTATCCTGCGTCGAAACTGGTGCTTAAACTAGAAAGTGTAGATGCAGTAATAGCAACACTGGGAGCGCAGAAATAAAACAATGCAACATTAACCACAGATGTAAGTACCTGCAGCAACCAGGCAATGATAACACTTGTTGCAGCAAATCAAACTTTGACAACGCCCCTAAGGGGAGGAAGTCTGGGTGTCAGAATAAACTGAAAAAAGCTTTATGAGCTAAAGAAAAGCCCAATGATAAAAAAGATGTAATGATAGTAGGGGCTTTGGGGTGGAAACCAAAGGTATTAGGGTGTGCTGTAAGGGGAGACAGGAGAAGACTGGAGGGGAAGAGACACAGAGAGGTGTGTGTGTGTGTGTGTGTGTGTGTGTGTGTGTGTGTGTGTACAGGACTTAGATATGGGCAAGCACACACATACACAAACAGAGTTCATACATATATATATATATACACACACACATACTATGTGTGTGCATGTATATAACAACTCTATCTAGTCATCTGTTGTGTGTGTGTATATATATATATATAGTTAATTTATACACACACAGTTCATAAACATAAATATGTAACAGCTATAAGCATATATAACGGACAACTACATACAAATATATGTGTGTAGTTGTCTGTTGTATATAGTTAGAGTTATTACATATTTATATTTATATCTATGAACTATGTGTGTGCATGTATAAAACAACTCTATCTATCTAGTCATCTGTTGTGTGTGTGTGTATGCAGGGTGTATAGTTGTTTTATACATGCACTCCTAGGAGCATGGGGACCAAGCAGGAGGAACTTGCACACCTGCTTGCAGATAAAGAAGTCGACCTGGTTGGGCTAACAGAAACTTGGTGGGATCCTACCCGTGACTGGGCAGCGGGCATTGAGGGCTACAGGCTGTACAGACAGGACAGAGTGGGGAGAAAGGTGGCGGGGAGTGGGGAGCATTGCTCTCTATGTTAAGGAGCAATATACATCTTCCATAGTTAATTTGGGCCAGGAAGAAGGACAAATTGAGGTACTGTGGGTCAAGGTACAGGGGGGTCGGGATGAAAGGGACTTGATAGTGGGTGTCTACTACAGACCCCCACACCAGGGGGATGCGTTAGGCCTACACTTCTCGAGACAGCTCTCAGAGGCGGCGCGCTCAAAGGACTTGGTCATCACGGGTGACTTTAACTTCCCAGATGTTGGCTGGGAGAAACAGGCAGCCAGCTCAGCCCGTTCACAAAGGTTTCTAACCTCCTTACAGGGCCTTCACCTATCGCAGGAGGTACGCATTCCCACCAGGGGAAGTGCCTTACTAGACTTGGTGCTGGCCACGGGGGACGACTTGGTGGGGGATCTGCAGGTGCCAGGTGACCTGGGGGGAGCGACCACCCATTGGTAGGGTTCACTCTCCGGAGAAAGGTGGGGAAGACAACTAGGAGGGCGGAAGTGCTAGGCTTCAGGAAGGCCAACTTCAACAAGCTCCGGAGATTAGTTAGGGAGGGGCTGACTGGTAAAAGCCTTGGAGAGACAGGAGTCCAGGAAGGGTGGGTGTTTCTCAAGGGACTAATCCTGCAGGTACAGAAAAGGACCATCCCCTGAAGGGATTAGTCCCTTCTGACCCTAGCATCTATGAAACTATGTGTGTGTGGGTGTGTGTGTAGTTGTTATAAGCTAATTAAAGAGACAAATTAATATAAGTGTCCAGTATTGTACTAGGTACAATCATTACAAGTGTTACAAAAGCTATTTGGACTGCAAAAAGTTGTCCAGACTTAAAAATTAAACTCCCTCCTTCTGACAAAACCAAAGAGGCTGCTGTTGGAGAAACTGGACAGCTAATGTTATTTTGATTTCCCAAGCCATGGTGTAGACGGCTCGTTCTTCAGTGATCCATGGAAGTGCATCTTCAATGCAAATTTACCTGGGGGGGTTAGTACCTTTATTGGGCAGCTGCTCGGAGCCTCACCTGGGCGTGCTGTCAGACCCCAGAGCGGCAGCTCTCAAGGCTGCTGACCCACCTAGCACAACCTCAGCTGTGCTATCCAGTTCCCTCGTGTTTGTATGAGCCTTTATGGGTCTGAGTTTTGGAAACTCCTTTATGGGAGTTTCCATGGAAACCCCTTTATGGGTCTGAGTTTTGGAAAAGCTGTGCGAGTGGAACCGGGTATCTAATCTGTAGGTGCAGGCACTGAGCCTGCCTGTGCAACCCGGGTGCTTGCACTCACACCTGCCTGAGGGCGAAGGCAGCTGAGAATCAGCCCCATTTTCTACATCGCTTGCGCTGCCAGCGCAGCTTGCCCTTATTCTCCCTCTTCTGCTTTCTCACGCAGGTAGCTCTGCCCCTTGCTCCCTGCACCAGGCTCCAAACGCCTGCCCTGATGCCCTCTGGCATCCCTCGCCATGCCTTTAAAATACTGCTCGGGACTCCCCCTTTCTAGCCTCCCTGCTAGGATCCAGCACAGTCCTATTTTGATGTTCCCATGCCCACCCCTCGTGGGCACGGGGCTTCCCAGCTAAAAGGGAAGTGGTGAATGTGATAGAGAACCTGGCTGCAGGGCTCACCTTGGCTGAGCCCTCTGGCTTTGGTAAAGGAAAAGCAAGGGGGACCTGGTGGACAGTAACCAGCTTCCCACCCGCACGTGACCTAGCAAGTGCCCCGGGAGCGGGACTGGGCTTTGGAGAGGGGTCTCTCCTTCCCCTCCTCTTCCCTGGCCAGGTCTCACTGTGTTGGTCCCAGCCATATTGGGGAGCACACAGCTCGAGTTTACAATTTTTTCTAGGGCTTTTCCCACCCCTCCTATCACTGAGTCGCTGAGAACTTCTTTCCCAGGAGACATGGTTAACCTTTTACAGGAGATGGTTAATTTATAAGGCCCTTCACAAACAGGCCCAGCTGAGCCCAATACTGAACAGACGGTCTAGAAACAGCAGTTCTTACCTTCATTTCTCATCCCGGGGACCCAGATCGTGCTGCGTGTCTCTGCTGCAAACTGCCTAACCGAGCAGGAAACCTCCGTCCCGTTGGGACAGCCCACGGTATCCACCAGTGCTCTGTAGGTCCCGGCGAAAGTCCCGCTGGGGGCCACCGTTATGGATGATGTGTTGTGATCCAGCATCGTGCGTCCCCCACACGTGGTGTTCAGCGTAACATGAAGAGCCTCTGGGTAGAAGTCGCTCACCAAACAGATCACCAAGGTTGAGTTCAGAGCAGCCTCAGTGGCAGGAGCAGACAGGGAGACGTGGGGTGAAACTGTGGAGATGGAGGGGATAATCCTGCAGTCAGACTCCACGGGCAGGGCAGTTTAGAGATCCCAGCTCTAGGGACAAGATGCTGCTTAGGTGACAGGGGTGTGAAGGTGGGAAATGTCAGTAGCAGCTTGGTGACTGGCAGCATTTTACACCCATAGGTAAATATGGCCACATCCCTCCGCAAGGAAATCTGCCCATTGCCATTTTATGAGTGGGGAAAGTGAGGCACAGAGCGGCTTAGTGATGTGTCTCAGCCACAGAAGGAATCAGAACCACTGCTGGGATTCAGATCCAGGAGCTCCCGTCCCCTCCTTCCTGCGCTCAGACGATGTGGTGCTCTCATCAGACTCAGTGCCCAAGGCCAGGTTCACCTCTTGACCCGTAAATAATTTTGTTCCTTAAACAGCAGAACTTGTGAGTGACTGCAGGCTTATGCACCTGGAAGGTGTGGCCATGCCCACAGGAGTTCAGCAATACATCCAATTAGGTATGAAATATAGTCCAAGTAGCTAATATAGTGGGGCCTGACCTGGGGGTCCGAGAAGTGTCGTATGCGCCTGTGTAAAGCAAACTCATTCTTGATTCACAGAAACCTTGAGGATTTTTTCAACCTAGAGGGAATTTGCCCATGGCCTGTGGCTAATGCATTATGCACTAATGCTGGGGAACATCAGGGAGAAAGGGTGTGTATCTTGGGCCCCTGAGACTGGTTCATCTAGCAGGGTACTACTGGTAGCTGTGGTAACCTGCAGAAGTTTGGGGGGGTTTTAAAAGAGAGGTGCATTTTCAGTACTGAATGGGGTTTGCAGCAAACAACCTTATTCTCCTGAATTAGTGGGGACATGCAATGAAACGGATGTGGATGAAGGAGTTCCAGTTCAGGCATGAGACAGCCTGGGCGCATGACCGAAATTACTGCGCAGTACAGGTGTGCGTCTACATGGACATACTCATACTGCACAGAAAATAGAGCAACTTATGCTGGCTTGAGTGTAAATTTGATATCTGCCTCATGCAGGCATCAAATTTATGCCTGATTCATTACTATTCAAACCTGGCAGGCTTTGTGGCCTCAGTAAGAGCTACCACCCCTGCCGTTTTCACCCCACTATGTTGCAACACCTAGATGTGACGAGAGTTTTGCTTTCAAGAATTTGGGGTGCCGTTTCCTCCAAACCCCTGCACCGATCTTCTTGAAACTTGGCAGGCTTCATCCTCTCTGCAGAGTCAGACTACCACCTCTGAAAATTACATCCAAATCAGACAAAAAACAACAACGTTCTAGATATTCTATTGTTTCCCCATTATACCCTATGGCCGGATCTCCGAGGCGGCTCCGAAGCTCTTTGGAAGCTCCGAACCGCTTTGGGAAGCCGAACGAGGCCAGCGCTTTGACCTGGACGTGCTGCTTCAGACCCCGAAGCGTCCAAAGCTTCTCTGGGTCTGAAGCTCTGTCCAAAGCCTCACACAGCCCTAATGTATAGACACCTTACTGCGCAGTAACACTGTGTGTGTAGACTGACTTGAGACTAACTTTAGTCCCAAGTCAGACAACACACAGCGTTAATGTGCTTTAACGCTTGCATGTGTAGACACTGGCCTATTCCCACTTACTGCACAGTAACTTACTGCACAGTAAATTTGAGCCAGCATAAATGCATGTGTAGACATGCCCACTGAGTCTGAGACACGTTAAACCACGTAAGTAGGGACCTACTTAAATCGTGGTGAGACAAAGGGTTTTTCATGGCCCACAGAGCTAATTTTGTGGGCATTAGGGAGTGGTCCCACCCCTCACCGCTAATTGGCAGTGTCCCTGGAGGCCGCACTCCTTGCCACTGATTGGTGGAACGGTCTCGGCAGCCCCACCCCTCGCCACTGATTGGCTGAGGGGCAAAAATTGCATAAGTAAATAGCAAATTCCACAGAAATATATAAATTAACATATTATTATAATTAAATGTAAACCTAAATCTTTATTTTCCAGTAAGCATTTTTATTTGGGTTGATTCGGTGGGAAATTACAGCCAACGCCATTTTTCGTGGCAATGGCAGAGATTGCCGGCTTTCACTGTTTCTGCAAAAATTGCAAACCCATGATTTAAGTAGATCCCTAAACATAAGTGCACTCCCATGACTTCTGAATTCCCTGGGCTTGTAGGATATGAAAGAAGGACACTCAACGATAACGTCCTTACCGTACACTTCCAGCCGAGTTGCAGGTCCTGTCCAGGTCAATGAAGGAGGAGGCAGGCTTTTCATTAACTTGCAGGTGTAGACTCCAGAGTCGTTCAGCTGAAGGTTTCTGATGAGTAAGGAAGACTGCGGGTTCAGCTGATGGGTCACAGAAAACTTGGACTCCGGGTCTGGCTTGGGCAGTTTGCTGGAAGATTTCACTGCAATTTGCTTTGATGCCCCCGAGCCATTTCTGCCATTGTAGACCCATTCGGACCGGAAATCGGGGAAGTCGCAGCTCCCACAGGCACAGGGCAGAGTCACAGAATCGCCTCTGGCTCCTCTCACAACCGGGGGCCGGTCTAAGTCGCTGTCTGGTTTGCACCACACTGAAGGACAAGATTCAATACTGTAGGCTCCTGCTACACATTACATATATTACGCAATTAAGTGGTAAATCGTACAATAAATGTAGACAGGCCACACTTGCAAAGCAAAACCAGCCACAAGGGCAAAGTAACAAGCACACAATTAACTGGTGAATCGCAATAAATTTAGACCAGCCCCACATGCAGAGTAATTAATACAGGATAAAAATGACAATCCAGCTATAAAAAGAGCCACCTAACTATTAAAATAGTGCCTGAAAATGTGTAATAGCTCTATAGCTGGTTTCTATCCAGCTTTTACTTGAACATGCAGCAGGGCCCTTGGAGACAAAGGGTAACATTGCCAAAGGCACGTCTGTGACCCAGGAGCCTCCATCTCACTGGAATTGCTTGGGGCAGAGGTCAGCAACCTTTTCTGCCTATGGGCTGGAAGGACCCGCCTTGGGTCAGAGGCACGTGGGTGCTAGGGCCACCTGCAGCCACCGCTTCTCCCCTATGTTGGCACGGGGAAAGTGCTCACACAGCCAAAGTCGCCCAACACCAAACAGCCCTGAACGCCCATGTTCATGGCCTGGATCCACTGGCTCCACGGCCCGATCCAGCCTGCAGATCAGAGGTTGCCGAACCCTGCGTCAGGGTGTAAAAACAAAGGTAGCATTTCTCCCGGATCCTACAGACATAACAGCCCGTTGTCCCACTTCACGTACCTGTGAAACACGTGCGGTGAGATATGCTAACGCTTCCCCAGGGCGGGATGAACCCTTTCGTGGCCCTAGACAAGCAAACTCGTGGGCCCCTACTTGATACTGTATAATTATATTACTTTTTTCACTCAATAATTATAGCGTGTAAAATAAGCACACCTGGGTCCCTTCTTCACTTGGGGCCCTACTAATTTGCCTGTGTGCTAATGCTGCATTCCTCTCAAATTAACCAGGGCTCATTCAGGTTCATGGCCAGTCATCCAGGGACAAGCCTGCCAGGCTGTTGCTCTCCCCGGCCATGCAGCAGCGCCCCGCAGAAGGGCTCCAGAGGTAGAGGGCTGCCCTGCTCCTTTTGTGGCCTGGGTTTGGGCTTGGATCAATAGGAACTGCCTCGAATGAGACGTCTGGTTACAGACTCACGGGCCAGATGTGCAGAGGTATTTAGGTTCCTGAAGAGACAGAGAGCGGCCAGGTGGGAGTTTCAGAAGTGCCCAGCACCTTAATTCCCAGGGATTCGAAGGGAACACAGAGCTGCTGGAAATGCCACGCAGCATCTTTAGTACCTAAGCACCATGACAGACCTGGCTTTTAGTTTCCTTTTTCACCTGATATTTGTAAAAGTCTTACCACAAACCACAGCTCGGACTAGTGAAACCCTGGACTTCAGGTTAGTGTTCTTGCCTCCACTGATGTTACTAAAAGGTCTAATGCTGAAACCGTGTCGTGAGCACTGCACCAGCACTGCGTGCACGAGAGTCCCTCCCCCCAGAGTAAGAGTTGCAGGATTGGGCCCTCTGCAAAGGGTTTCCATAGTTTTACTATAACATGTAAGTCCGCTCCTCTGAGGCTTGCACGATGAACTGATGCCTTTGCTACCCCAGAAGCTAAACAAGTCTATAGAAATGGCCGGTAAAGAAGAAAGCACGACTGCAAATGTTGATCTTATGTATTTAAAAGACAAAGCTGCCAAAGAACATCAAAGGAAAGAAAACCAGGGTTTCTGGGATGAACCCAAGACAGAAAGATGATCAGCTATTTCTGGATGGACACGTCCTAGGATGTCTTTGATGAATGCTTGGACCAGAGGTCAGTCCTGATGCTTCTCTCACCAGTTTTACACCTGGGGGTTTTACCATCGTCACCACTGAAGTGAGCCTCACACTACATATTATAATGTCAGGAGAACAAAACCAGTGGTTTCTCTTTCAGCCGTGCACTACGCCCCAAGGCAGCCATCTTACACCGGTGGCAGATACTAAAGCTTGATTCACTAAGTGCAGAACGCAGCTAACAAATTCACTTATTGCAAATACTATTATTTCTGCCCGATGCCACCCTATCAGTATCTTATATGCCACAGTTTACTGCATTGTACATGCACGTCTTTTAGTAGTTGCACAACCTGTTTCATACCATACAGTGTGTGTAATTAAAACACACCCACAAGGATAAAGTCCTGACCTATTTAAGGGGAGTTTTGCTCTTCACCTCAGTGGATCCAAGACTTCACCCACAGTATGTATTAGTCATTTGTGAAACTTTAATCTCCAAAAATACAGGAAGGGATTTCAAGCTTTGTATAAGCACACACTTATTTGCTGTTTTGAAATAAACAGTTTGGCACTTTCATTCGAGCAAATTCTGTTTTGAGACACTAGCAGCACTATACAGATTTTCTAGATGCAATAGAGATGTCTTGTGGTCTGGTGAGACTTCACTTTGCTTTCGCCATTTGATTCAACAGCTCAATGTCGATTGTCTCCAGTTTGCACTAGCTAGCACAGAAGATGCAAACACTTGTCTACAGATGATCGGATTTACTATTTGATCCGAGAGAAACACCCAAATGTTATAGATAAACCTTACCTCTGTGCAGAGCCATCCCCAGCACACAGATGAAGAAGAGGAGCTGTGCCATGTTTCAGCTGAAATTGTGACCTGCTTGTGGCCGCGTCACAAAGCTAGATGGCAACCACACTGCCGCCTGTGCTCACTGCAGACCCTTGAAACCTAGTGAAGCACTGAACTTAAAAATGACAACTTTGCCTGACAGAAATAAAATTCAGCTCAGGGCCCTGAATTTTCTTCTTTCTCACATTTCTTGTGGTCATCTTGAGCAGCGAGGTCAGCTACAAGAACATCTCGAGTCAGCCACATCATCAGATATAAGTAGAATGAGATGAAGGTGGATAATAACCATTTTCAGAGAAATGCTATGAAGTGTCAGATGTGCAATGCTCTTTGAACGACAGATAGCATATTCTAATATATTTCCCCTACAACAATCTCTCATTCTTTGGTTTTGGTTTAGTGGCTGCGCTGGGCAGTGGTTTTGATTGAACGGTCGACAGTGAAACTCATCCTTTTCCTGGACTGACACGGGTCATTTAGAAACCTGCGAGCTGCACAAGCGTTGTAGACTATTCCCTCCCCGTGCGTGTACTTGCATTTTACACTGAACCATGTTTGCCTTCGTATTGCCAGTCGGGCTTTTTTCTATCTCTGCCAGGTTCCTCACCGTCCTCTTGGGTCCTGACCTCCAAATACCTGTATGGCATCTGCAAATTTTACTAAATCACTAATCACCCCCTTTGCAGATTATTAACATATATTTGAAACAATGGGGACCTTATAGGGAATCCTGAGGCCTTGCTGTTCACCTTCTGCTATGATAGAAGTTGATCATTTAAGCCTACCTGCTTTATGTCTCCCAGCTAGTTTTTGATGCATAACAATACGTTACGTCTTACTTCTTGGCTTCTTTGGAGCCTCTTGTGTGGGAGCTTGTGGAAAGCCTTTGGAGAAATCAAAATAAATCATATCACCCGCTTCTCCTCTATCCATCGCTTTACTGATGTGTTCGAGGAATTCCAAAAGAGACGATTTTCCTTTGCAACAGTCATGATCTTCCTATCAGATCATCATTTCCAGTGCTTGTGCTGTTCTTCTCCGTAACCATTTTGTCAATGATTTGGGCTAGGGACAGACATTCAAAAAGCCAGACCCTGAATGGATTCAGCCTTTGCAGGTTAGTCAAATCTGCCTAGATTGAACCAATTTGCAAGTGAACAGACATTCACTGTTAACTCCGGAAATGCAGGCACATGCCTGCAGTGGCTCAGGCCAGAAGCTGGGGGCCGCTAGAGCAGCCCTCGGTTGCAGGGAAGCTGTGCTGGGGGAGCAGGGGGGGGCATGCGAGCTTTGCCTAAGGGGCCAGCCGGCTTCTGGCCGCACCCCCACCTCTGCTGCTGGAGCGGCAAGGGGGGAGCAACTGTTAGGAGGGCAGCACCTCCTCTCATGGTGTCCTGGAACATGAGCCTCTTCCTGGTGGGGGGTCATGTTGCAGGTCGGGGTGGGAGTGGAGGGTCAGGGCCGCCGTGGACTGCGGGGGGTGAGCTGCAGCACCAGGGCTCGGAGGGGTGGCCATAGACCCATAAACCCCTCCCAGCGCTGCTGCTGCTCACCCTGCACAGTCTGTGGCAGGGCTGACTGCCCCCCGCCTGCAGAACAGCCCTGCCCCCCCTCCTTCCCCCCACCAGGAAGAAGTTTGGGCTTCGGGACACCATGACAGGGGGTGCTGCTCCCATCAGGGTCGCTGCCCCCTCGCCTTTTCAGCAGCAGGGGCGGAAGTGCAGCCAGAGGCCAGCCGGTATGGCCCCCTTAGGTGCGGGAGCAGGAGGAGGCTTATTCCATCACTCATGCCACACAGGGAGCAATCGGCGGCAGGGGCAATCAGGTCTGGAAGACCCCAACTGCAGGGCCACTGGGGGCAGAGGGGGTGGAGGGGGGAGAGGGGAATAAATCTCTTCCCTTCCCCCTTCCGGGTCCAGCCAGGCCCCCACCTCTGCCTGTCCCTGCTCCAGCTGGGGAGCAGACAGGGGGAGCCAGCCCTGCTCGGCTGGAACAGAGAGCCCTGCCCAGCCCAGAGAGCATGCTGGGATACTGGGAGACTCTGGTTTAACTTAAACCAGGAAAAGGTCTGGGACAGACATTG